CAAAAAAACTTTAAGAATGCAATCTGATAGTTTCGCAAACGTCATGGATGTTTTGTGATAAAAAGCTTTTAATTTAAAAAAAAATTAGTATAGCCGCTCGGCTATGCACGGCTTTATTAATGTTTCTTAAAAATAGTATAGCCGCGCGGCCATACTCGATTTTTATTTTTTTATTTGTTTGGTTTTAATTTTTTTTTATAAAAAAAATAGTTTGTAGTATTATTCATTACTATTAGGCCATTACCTGAGTCTCTTTGTCCCCTTTGGATTTGTTACTTTTTAAGAGTTATTACCTATATAAAGACTTTAGAACCCCTTTATAAGAATGATACAACATGACCAAGAGTTATTACCAAAAAAACTTTAAGAATGCAATCTGATAGTTTCGCAAACGTCATGGATGTTTTGTGATAAAAAGCTTTTAATTTAAAAAAAAATTAGTATAGCCGCTCGGCTATGCACGGCTTTATTAATGTTTCTTAAAAATAGTATAGCCGCGCGGCCATACTCGATTTTTATTTTTTATTTGTTTGGTTTTAATTTTTTTTTATAAAAAAAATAGTTTGTAGTATTATTCATTACTATTAGGCCATTACCTGAGTCTCTTTGTCCCCTTTGGATTTGTTACTTTTTAAGAGTTATTACCTATATAAAGACTTTAGAACCCCTTTATAAGAATGATACAACATGACCAAGAGTTATTACCAAAAAAACTTTAAGAATGCAATCTGATAGTTTCGCAAACGTCATGGATGTTTTGTGATAAAAAGCTTTTAATTTAAAAAAAAATTAGTATAGCCGCTCGGCTATGAACGGCTTTATTAATGTTTCTTAAAAATAGTATACCCGCGCGGCCATACTCGATTTTTTTTTTTTTTTTTTTGTTTTAATTTTGTTTTTAAAAAGTAGTTTGTAGTATTATTCATTACTATTAGGCCATTACCTGAGTCTCTATTGTCCCCTTTTAATTTTTTACTTTTTGAGAGTTATTACCTATATAAAGACTTTAGCATTTTCACATTTAATAATGTATTACGTACGTATTTTTCAATAATCCATGTTCTGCAGACGTCTTAAAGACTCGGTAAAGTTCACGTTTTTTAAAAGTAAACGTATAATACTCGTATATAGGTACATACGTATTTTTCTTGTTTAATACATGTAGTTTTTACAAAAAAAACTGGAAACATTGATTAATCAATTAGTAATTAAGATCAAGGTCTAAAATATCGATAGTGTCGGAAATATCGGTAGTCCAAAAATGGGGAAATTTCGATGGAAATATCGGGATATTATCGATATTGATAAAAATTGAATAAATATCATGGAAATTGTAAGAACAACTTGGAAATTTTTATTGAAACTTTGGAGGATGTTTATTTAGTCATTTATCTATTAGTTTATCGCAAAAAAAATTGGAAGTTGCATGATGGGTTTAACTGATTTAAGTTGATTATATAGCGAGCTAACAAACACTGTGAGCATAGAAATTATGTAGTAATTAATGAAAGAAGATTAAACAAACCATAATCATTTATATATAATGATTTACTACAATATTTTACACTTTTATACATTGCATGGTAAGATACATGAGTGACTTAGTACCACATAGAGTTCCTATGAGGTTCAATTTTTCACTATCTTCATCATCTCTATGTGTAGAGCAAGTGTATTGTGAAGAGTAGTCATCAAATGATAAATCCCCAAAATAGTTTTGAATGTAATTGTTAACATGCCACCCATATGGATCCGAGATTGGTTGTCTACAAGCAAAATCGTTTGAAGATTGGGTCTTGGATTCTTTCCATGAGTCGTTCGATTCCATCCCAAAAGGAAAGGTCAAAGACTCACATGTACTAGGGTTAAATATTAAGTTAGATGGCTTTTGTTTTTGTCTTTTTACACAATAATAGAAAAACTCATTTAAAATATGAAATTCATGATAATTAATTTCTGAAAAGAATACAAGTTTTATGAAGGGCCCCCTCTAATGTGAAATCCTGGCTTTGCCACTTATGTTTCACACACATAAAATTTAAACCCAAGTAATTAAATTGTAGATATTCATTGTGACAAACCCTTAAATTAAAGGAAAAATGAAAAACATACAATTTGTAAAGCCGAGTTTCAAAAGTGGAGACGTATAGTGATCGAGGGGAACCATCTTTGGCGAGCAAAGGTCCTTTCCGTTATTTTATTATTTTAAATAAAAAAATTTGGTTAGTAGGTTGGTCCCATAGTAGACACGTCAGCATTTAACGATTGACTACACGGTCAACTTAATGGAAGGATGAAATTGGACGATATTGAAAACGTAAGGGTGTAAATTGATAAAATTGATAACCGTGGGTCCATATTGAGAACCATCCCAAACCTGCAGGGTGTCTTTTGTTGTTAGCCCATTTCTTAAAGTGCAAGAATGGAAAGTCTTAGTTCAGTAGGAAGATTTTTTTACTTCCCTAAACAGAATAACGGTTCTCTTATAAAAGGATGGCTGGTACTTCGCAACCCCACTGCACATTCAAAGTCTCGTGCTTGCTTCTCAATAAGAAAGAAAGAAAGAAATTCATGTATGGCTTCAGTTATATTTATATCTGCCTTGGTTTTTTTAAATTGTCTTCATCCTTCTATTTGCTCTGGTTGCTTTTAATACACTTATTTTCTAAATTTTTTTTAATAATACACACAAAATTCACGTATTATACATATAATTCTCACACATTATTGAATACAAAGAATATATATTAAAAAATATTATATAGTGGCTGAACTTTTAAGTTGTAATTTGCCAAAATTTTGCCGAATAAAACGCTTACGTATATTGGTATAGCCGCGCAGCTATACCAATATTAATATCTATGAAGTATAAACTAATGCAACTAGGAAGGTCCTTTTTTCATAATTTGCACGGCTATACCAATATTAATATCTATCAAGTATAAACTAATGCAACTAGTAGGGTCCTTTTTTCATAATTTTATTTATTAACGAGTATAGTCGAGCGGCTATTCGAGGGTTTTCCAAATTTTTTTAAAAAAGAAATAGTATAGGCGGGCGGCTATACCCGGTTTTTTTCAATTTTTTAAAAAGAACTCGTATAATCGAGTATTCTGTGGCGATCGGTTTTTTAAATTTCTTTTAAAGAAATAGTATAGCCGCGCATCTATACGCAGTTATTTAAAAGGAATCGTATAGCCATGCGGCTATACAAGAGGGTTTTTACAATTCTTTTTAAAAGTCGGATTTCCCAATTCTTTTTAAAAATAAATACTATAGCCGTGCGGCTAGACTCGGGTTTTTTCAAATTTAAAAAAAAAATAGTATAGCCGATCGGCTTTACTCGACTCTTTTTTAAAAATAAATAGTATATCCTCTTTTTCTTTTATATTTTTTCTCCAATTTTCGTTTATCGATAAAAGTAGTTTAGAGCATTATCCATTACTATTAGGCCATTACCCGAGTCTCTATTGTCCCATTTGATTTTTTACTTTTCCAGAGTTATTACTCATATAAAGAATTTAGCAATTTCATGTTTAATATTGTACTATACATGACCATAACGATATTTCAATAATACATCTGTGTTTTGTACACGTCTTAAAGACTTGGTAAAATTCACGTTTTTTAAAAAGCAAACATACAATACTCATATTGAACATGTATGTATGTATTTTTCATATTTGAAAAATAATAGTATAGCCGCACGGCTATACTCGGGTTTTCCTAATTTTTCCCAAAAAATAGTATAGCCGCACTGCTATAGTTGGTGTTTACAAATTTTTCTATACTCGGTTATTCTCCATTTTTTTAAAAAGAAATCGTATAGCCGGGGGGCTATACTCGGTTTTCCCCAATTTTTTAAAATGAAGAAATAGTATAGCCGCTCGGCATGAGTTTGCAGTGAGTATAGAAATTTTTTTGTTGAAGCGATCATCTCCAATTGCAGCATGAGTCTGGACCTTTTTGCCTAAACTCACACTTTAGTTTCTATCTGCACTTTTTCAAAACTGATATTCCAGAGAGAAGAACTAGAAAATAGTAAGTTTATTTGCTCAGCTACTACCTAATTAGATGTTCCATCACATTAGATTTAAGACCATTCATCTTTCAAAAATATAACATTGAGATTATTAGTTTTGAATTATTTGCCTCTGGTATTTTCATCTAATGCAGAACTTCATTGCTGCTCAACTTGGAGTTCAGAGGATCACGGGCATTACCATTTTCAACACAAGAGTGGAACGAACATACGACCCTTTGCCAGATTTGGATGTTAGGTTCTTTTTTTCTCCAAGAAAAAAGTAGTTAGGTTAGGTATCCATCTGCTTTGTCACCCTTTCATCCAGACAAATAAAGCTGCCTGATTTTCAGTGTGCTGTATTTGCCATCTAAACTACAGCACCAAATGCTTTTGGTTATCGTTCTGTTCTGACCAGCCTTCTGTACTGGTGCAGATTTTTGTAAGGACCAAGCCAACCATCTACAGGCCTTGAAAGGTATTTCTTTATAGTTTCCAAATCTTATAATTGCATCTGATTTCTCTTCATACTATAAAAGGGTTTCTATGTAAGTGGATTGTACTTGTAATTAATAGCATAAATTCAATTAGATAGGAACTAGCTTATTTGTCTGCACACTTTCGGTTTCGGATTTATGGATAGGAAGCCTGCTTTTTTATACTCTGCACACAAAACATGACTTATGCATGTAGCTCCTTTAGTTTGGCTTCATTTTCCAGTAACAAGTAAAATTTAAGGGCATCATATCAGAACTGCAGAACAGGCCTTGCAATTATTAGCTAACATAACCCATCGACTCTGTTGAGCATTGTTGTTCTATTTGACAGGCATCATTTCTAACGGCAAGTGGCCTCTCTCTGTTGGCCACCCATACGATTCGACCGTTGGACGTACGGAGTTATTGTTATACCATATTCCAATGTATTGTTGCCTGAATTACCAGGACTAAAGAAGCCCAATTCAAAATTTTGGTTGGTAGAGAGGTTAAAGTTTCATTTTGCAAGATATGTTTGGATGGAGTTAAAATGTGAGTTGCAGCAGTGGAATGAAATGAAATCAACTTTTGGAAGAGAAATATGGACAAGAACAGCATGCTGAAAATTGGAGATGCAACCATTTTCCTTGAAAGGTGGCACTTTGTGAGTGAGTATTTTCAGTTTTTGCTTTTGGTCTACCAACCCTTCAATCTTTGAGACTTTTGACCCAATTAATAAAGGCTAAAACATTAGACTTAGGATATAAAAAATGAATGGCTATACTGTGGGCATGTTTTGCACCAGTGATTGACAGCTTTGAGTTTAAGTGGATCTCTTGCAGTATCTCTAACAAGAATAATATGATATATTACACTAAGAATAACAATGTAGACAAAGACGAAGTATCCAATCACGAAATCTCCAGTCTAGTATCTACGTTAGGGAAAATCTTCATTTACTGTCCCAACTCCAAGAGAGAAAAGGGGTTCGTTCCTGTACAAAAAGTAAAACCTTCAATTTGTGTGAGAAGGAAGAACACTTGACAAAAAATGACCAAAAGTCATAGCGTTGTGATGTATGTAACAATATGCTATTGTTTATCAGAGAGAAGAAACAATGACCAAAAGTCTTGATTAAAAACTGATATTCCAGAGAGAAGAAACTAGAAAATAGTAAGTTTATTTGCTCAGCTACTACCTAATTAGATGTTCCGTCACATTAGATTTAAGACCATTCATCTTTCAAAAATATAACATTGAGATTATTAGTTTAGAAGAATTTGCCTCTGGTATTTTCATCTGAATTTGCCTCTGGTACAGCTCGATTTACCAACATGTCAATCCCAATGTTCGAAACAAGGTGGTAGGCAGGCTGTAAGCAGGGGTCTAATGCCTAGAGGAGTAATCGGGGCCTATCTCTTCTTTTTGTTTTGGGCTTCTTAGATCTAGGTCCAAAATGATTAGCTATCATTGGGTTTAGTCCTCGTGGTTTTAGTTTTAGATGTAGGTCCTTTGACATATTTTACCCTTTGAGGTAAATAAGGAAAACACATTGAAAATCTAAATTTAATACATTATTTCCTTGTAATTGAATTCCATAATTTAAATTTTGAATTCTTTCCTTGATAATATTCCTAATATATTGATAAAATACAATTTAATCAATACAAAGTAAAGACCCACAAATTAAACCAATCGATCAGACAAGCACCCACATTAAATTATATACCTGACATACATGTAAATAGTGTTATTATTAGCAACGAAAAATACTTAGTGATAAATCATGTTACCTATAAGTTAGGAACATAAATTAGAAGACTACCTATAAGTCAGATAAAAAAATAGACAAAATTAAATTGTATGTTACCTAAAAAAAAGGTAGATAAAATACTATTACACATTGTCGAAAATATGAAAAAACATATATATATACCTATGCAATAGGCAATAGATAATATGACATATTATACCTATGCAATGGACAATAGGACAATATATCTACATCGTAGGCTGAACAAACCACAAAACATCTTACCTATATGTAAGGTGGAAAAAATAAACAAGGGGAATATTAAATTACCTATAACTTAGGTGCATAAACACATAAGTCGGACAATATATGCTACCTATATCTCCGGTACATAAAAAAGATAAGTGGTAAATCGTATGTTACCTATAACTTAGGTGCATAAACACATAAGTCGGACAATATATGCTACCTATATCTCCGGTACATAAAAAAGATAAGTGGTAAATCGTATGTTACCTATAACTTAGATTAATAAACAAAAAGGCAAAAAAGTCTGGTACCTATATCTCATGTATGTCAAAACAAGTCAATTAATAACTTTTTTTTTTTTGTTAAAGGAATATGTTACCTATAATTTATATATATATATATGAAGAAAAATATATCAAAAAATGTATTACCTATGTCTCCGGTATACTATACATAAAAGAACAACTATAAAGAACAAAATAACTGAACCTGATTAAAAGTTGAGCATATATTCAACATAAAATAATAATAATAAGATTACCTCATTAAGAGTTGTTGGATGAGGAAAGAAATATAATATTGGCTAATTATCTCATTAAGGTAAGTAATCGAAGATAATGGGCAAGGGTAAATTGGATAAGGAAAGAAATATAATATTGGCTAATTATCTCATTAAGGTAAGTAATCTAAGATAATGGGCAATATTGGAACAAAAAATTATTTTAAATATATAAAATAAAAAGTAAATTGGATAAGGAAAGAAATATAGTATTGGCTAATTATCTCATTAAGGTAACTAATCTAAGATAATGGGCAATATTGGAACAAAAATTGATTTTAAATATATAAAATAAAAAGATTACATCAGATAATATTAAAAAAGGAATGTAATTCTATGTGGCACAAAAGTCAAAGGACTTGCATCAAAGTCACCAAATCCGAGGATTAAACCCAACTTCTAGATGAGAATTTGGATCTATATCAACTTTTCTATTTTGTTTTTTTCATCAACATATAAATGCAATTTTCCTTCTCAAACCCTAACTCTAACACGAGCCGTCTTCCAGCCCCTCTCTCTCGCTCAGACATAACCCGCGACCTCTCTTCTTCCTCAATCCTCATTTCTCTGTCTCTCGCTCATAGCACCATCCTCATCTCGTCCTTGACCTTGGAGATTCCAAATGGCGTTTTTTTTTTCCAGGCGCTAGCGTCCACCAATCCCGCCCGCCTGACCGCCTAGCTCCCACCTAGACCGCCTAGCGACCGCCTAGCCCGCCTAGCCCGCAAATCTCTATGTATTACCTTCAAACAGGAATCATGGTGGAGACAAAGAAGCCCTCTAGCAACACCCTGAATAATCTTGAAGCGTCGACCCCAATCAAGCACAGCTCCTCGTGTCATTGGATAAGTAGTGGGTTCGCTCTCCTCATCATCAACGCTTAGTTTTTTTCGCATGGTTGATGAGGAACTCAACTCCTTCATCACAACCAACTCTAGCAGAAACGTGGAGGGGAGTTTCACCCTTGTTGTTGGGGGTCCAAAACAATGGCGATTGTGGTGGGATTTGTTTGAAGAAATCTATGTGCTTGAACTCAGCGGCAATGTGAAGTATATTATTGTCCATAGGCGTTTTCTGATGGAGAAGATCATCTGGTACGTCAGCATCTTTATTTTTTCTCAAGAAACCAACGTCACCAGATCTTGCTGCCTTATACAAGGAAGGATCCATGTCTATCAAGTAATGTTTATTGATATTTTAGTGGCCGCTATATGTAAGCATCTTGACTTGTGATGAACTCCACAAAGCATATACACCAAGATTATTCCAGTGCGAGAAAGTCTTTTCAGATTCTTTGTTCTTGGTCTTAAAAATATTGGATTCTTGTCTTCTCTAGGGTGTATCTTCTAGTAGTCTCACTGGACTGGACTGGACTTCAATTGAAATGGACAAGAGTCCTAGCCGTTGTATGGTGAGCCACATATTGTGTCTTACAAGTCTCACCTAGAGGGGTGGGACTCATAAAGACTAGCTTGGACTCAACTCCAATCCAATCTAACAGTTCCCTGGTAGCTAGTCAAGTAAAGTATCAATCAAATAGTAACCTGTTAGCTAGTCAAGCAAGTATCCACCACATAATAAATAAAATCAATGACAGAAAATTGATTATCTTGGTAAAGATAAATTTGCAGTTGTCGATCGCAAGGAAAGCAAATACGTACCATTCCCATGTTTATAATTGGAACAGCTCCAGCCATTCTTTCGCACTCATTAGCCTAGAACTAAGAGTATAAACCGGACATCTCAGAAGGTTTTCCATCTTTTATCAATGAAACAGTTCCTACTATTTTAACAACAAAACAATAAAAATAACATATATGCACCAAAACTTCTAGTTGTAAAGGAATTTTGATCAGGCGACACGGGAAAGCCTACACGTTCAAAGCCCAGTTGCTTGGACTGGAACAAGTTTTCGAAAAACCATATAGCTAGTACTGATTATGAGGGAATAGTAACAGTTTCGGATGTAAATACTTGGAAAGTATGTGATGTTACTTACACATTCTGATTTTTTGTGTATGATTTGAATTTGTGTACTTATTCCTCAACCTTCAATTTTTGTTGCTCATGCTTAAATTTTCCATCAGAGAATCATGGAATATGAAGAACATGAAAAACGTGTTTGGAGTGTTTGATTTTTCATGCACAGAGCGCACGAGGCTTGTATCTCGTAGTGATGATGGTAAGGTAGTCTCAAAATCTTTAAAATCTTAAACCAATTCTTGTATTATGCTTAGGTGATCTGAAATGTAATGCAGTACCTGTTTCCTTTTGGAAAAAGCAAAGAAACGTTATGTTGCACACTATATTCTGTTTCTTCTATTTATTAAAGAGTTATTTACCCTAACACCCCCTAAGGGGTAAAATGCTATACTCACTATTTGCAAGTGACTATTCCTGGTGGGTATAGTCGAGATGTTGTTAACTATTCTACTAAGTTTTTTGTATCCTTGACTTAAGGGCTGGCAGGTTTAGGCTACCAGAATACGTGATATACGCTTGTATCTAGTTTATGCATTATATGCAAGTTTGCATATACAGGATGCTAAATTGATGCATTATGGGTGTAGTATTAACAACTCAGTTCTCGTATTTCAGCTGGGAGAAAATAAATTTGTTAATCTTGCAAGAAAAAATTAATGGATTCAGAGAAATATTGATATGTCCTTCCTTATGTACTTTTGACGTTACATATTGGTTGTCGAATTGTTTAGTATGTTTTAGCAATGCCAATAATTGTGGTGTATGCTTGAATTAAGGTCTGGCTAACAATACTTAAATATTGGATGCCCCATATTTGGCTGCGGTCACAGTTTACCATCTACCCCATCTGTAATTTAATAGCTAACATAACCCATCGACTCTGTTGAGCATTGTTGTTCTCTGTTGAGCATTGTTGTTCTATTTGACAGGCATCATTTCCAAGTATGAAGCAGAGAAGGAAAGGCTCTGCACACGATATGAACAACTGAGTAAGCAACAAAACTCCTTTACTCCTCCTTATAGTGAAATCGAATACACCAAAATTTTCTGATGGGTTGATGTCGTGTCAGGAAAGAAAGAAAGGACTCTGATATCTGAGCATGAGAAAGCTTGTACTGATAAAATTGCTAAACTGGAAGAGTCCTTGAAAAAGAAGAAGCAGGTACTACCCCTCTCTCTCTCTCTTCCTTGAAAAGAAAAAAAAGAAGCTTGTACTGATATCTCCATGTATATATATTTGTGCAAACATGTCTCAAAACCCATTTTCTGTTTATAAACTCAGGATGACAGAACTTTAGCGTTCTGAGAAAGACTCTTGGCTCGTTTCTGGAGAGTACCTCAGACAAGGACATCCCGGTTGATGATTGAATGAACATTCAACTGTTTGAGCTCAAGTCTCCAATTACTTTTTCCCCCTAAAAGATGTTACGTCTATTAATACTTGCAATATGATATGGTACATGGTTCTGGTTCTGCCATAGGTGTAAAGTTGAATTTCATATACAATACCACATTATTACATGCTGCATGTGCAAAATATTTAAAATTAGTCGCAAATTAATTCACAAATTTTCCTCACATAAGCATGTACAATTTCTAGGCACGCCTCACAAAAGCAGTTTAATAAACAGCATTGGCAGGGGGAGGTGGGTGCCCCTGTTGAACAGACCATGGAGGGCGCTTGTTTTGTTCCTACAGATAAAAAACATTTCACATCCAGTCATACATATGAAACACAAGCAATTGCATTCTGATCTATTTACAACAACTATATACAAATGACAATACATGTTGTTTCAAAAGTGTTTTCTTATTATTCTCCCTTAAAACAATTACTATTACCAATGAAAGAACAACATGACGTCTATAAATATGAAGCAAAAAAAATAGAACTTTCATTATTGTACCCATGTGAAAGTCTACAAATCCCATAACCTCTTCTAATTTTTATTTCAAAGGAAATCTGTCTTTTTTTTTTCTTTTTTTTTTTTGGGGGAGGAGGAGCAGGCAGTTTTTTCAGAGCATCTCATCCCCTGTCCTCGGTAATTCCTTGATTACCATGGAAACAAAGTTTTCGCCAATAACTTCTTACAAAATTTCTGATTTCACATATGAACAAGAAAAAAAAAAGTATTTTCATGTAATTCAGAGATTATCCCCAAAATTTGTCCCGAACACTACTAGCCTATCGGCAGTGAGACTCACAAGTGTATTCCCATAACAAACACAATTAATGGTTTCAATGTTTCCATAGCACATTGTTTACTTACTCCAATTTCTGTCACAAACTGACAAGAGGAACACCTGACGGATGAAGCTCCATATGGATACATCAGCAACACTGCACAACTACCACATTTAACTTGTCCAACCTGATCAGCTGATTGCATAACTATTGCATAAACAATGACTTGATTTTAAGTCCATTGGCACTTGTGGTTTAGTGCTGAACTATTGCACACTGCATATGGACCTTCGAAATTGCGTAACACATTATTCAAGAAAAAGAATTGATTGATTGACCCCTAATCAACTCAAAAGATCAGGTGTACACATTTTATATTTCACGTTAGTTTAGATCACACATTATTTTGGGGTCATGCACTGCTTCTTTGAATGAAGTTCAATGCAACTGCAATCTCTCTTTCTCCTTTTACATTGTTATCAAATTTTGGCAATACTTGCGCTTGGCGTACAGTATCATCACAAGATTACATGAAGTAAGAAAACCTACAACAATTTTGGAAAAGGCAAAAAGAGGAGAGAATGAGACCGAGAACGTTGCTTACTATGTACACTTAAGAGCCTGAGAAGTGAAACAAGAGAAGAGAATCCACTAGAAGAAGAGGCTCAGGCCATACATGGATAGAGAGACAGAGGAGGCTGTGTTTAATGACACATTTTCTATTAAATTCGAGTACCCCGATCAGTGGGGAAAAACAAAAATTGGGCCAGCAGCTAGACTTTGATAAATGGAACTTAGTCCTCGATCGTCATTACAAAAGTTGGGCTGCAAACATCTCTCCATGAGCACAATTTTTGGGCTGCACTAATTTAGCATGTGCATAGTCTTCATAGCTGACAACCCAAAGAAGAGTGTAGATATTAGAAATTTGGGACGTGCCTAATTACAAGTCATGTGAGGTGGGCGTGATTTTGACAAGTGTAGGCCCCGATAACAATAAGAAATTTTTGTCGTTATCAACAACTATGCCTATGTGGATTTTATTTATGTGGCTGTGATCGGTTCATAATTGTATATCATTTTGTACCCTTCTAGCTTATGATTTGGTTATGTTTTTGAGTTAAACTTGTGCTTTTAATCCTTTTTGTGTTTATCTTTCAGTTAATTGACATTTAGGTAACAATGATGACTTTGGATAGGAAATGATGCAATCCATGCATGTTATGGGCTGATTGGCATATGAGGAATATGAGCTTAAAGACAAACTAATTTTGGCTACAGCCCATTTCCAGCCCAGTTTCGTAGGTCAACTTCTTGGCCTTGGATCAGCATTCTCTGGGGCTCGGATGAGGTGAAGATCTTCATGAAACTTGTTCCAATGGGTGTCTACTACAACATATCCAAATTTCAGCCCAATTGAACATATCTGGATTCCTTAGCCCGTCCAACACTGAACCATGCTCAGGAGGATTTGCAGCTGCCAGCTTTGAGCCTTGTCTCCTCCTTTAAGCCATGTGCCTCACCCATGCTGCAACTGACTTTGGATACAACATAATGAGTGAAGTGGGGAGGTATTCCAGCAATGAAATTCTAAAGGAGCAAGTTGGTACATAATGGAGCTATTAAAGAGAAAGCATGTGCATGCATGTAAAGCATAAATGAAATGAAGTCAATTCCAGTCTCTGTTCGGCAGCCAACTTGCAAGGCCCAAAACGCACACTTCTACTGCTCCGATGGGAATACTTTCTTCAAAGAAATTGTTCCAATGGGTGTCTAGTATAACATATCCAAATTTCAGCCCAATTGAACATATCTGGATTCCTTAGCCCGTCCAACACTGAACCATGCTCAGGAGGATTTGCAGCTGCCAGCTTTGAGCCTTGTCTCCTCCTTTAAGCCATGTGCCTCACCCATGCTGCAACTGACTTTGGATACAACATAATGAGTGAAGTGGGGAGGTATTCCAGCAATGAAATTCTAAAGGAGCAAGTTGGTACATAATGGAGCTATTAAAGAGAAAGCATGTGCATGCATGTAAAGCAAAGAAATGAAATGAAGTCAATTCCAGAACTCACCTAATTGGAGTGGTTGGTGTATTCCATACTTCTAGCGATTGGATTTCACTCAAAACTCACCAAATGACTCCTCCCACCGTATTATGATGTTGCCCAAGTTTTGGGCTCGATCCGAAATCAATAGGTGTTCCAAATTGGACAATTCAAGTTCAACGACAGAGTATCACAAGTTGAGGATGCAGTTGAAACCATTTTGGTGCAGCTGAATCGAAGCAACAGGCTGTAAACTGTCAAATACAGCAATTCTCATGTGAAAATCTGATTCTTGCAAAAACAGTTCAAAACAAAAAAATATATAAATATACATATTTTAGCACATTATCACAAAAACATAAGCAACATGATGGTTAAGGCGTTGGAGGAGTGAAATGACGAGGGTTTGAATCCCCCCCTTTGCGTGCGTTTGTTCTAGAAAAATGGAGGGTTATTGTTAGAGTAGCAAATTGCTTCACATGGAGAGGAGGCACAACAATTTTCACAGCCGAGAAGCTAGAGATGACGGCTAGATTTGTATTGAAAACAATGAAAACAACTGACCTTTCCATTGCGTCTTGCATTAGTGTAAGGAACGGCTATACTAATCTATAAAAAAAAACCTTAGTATAGCCAAGCGGCTATGATATAAAAAAAATTATGAATAAGGGACCCTCCTAGTTGCATTAGTTTATATTTTATATATATTAATTTGGTATAGCCATGCGACTATACGAATAAAATATTGTTAAAATTTTGGCATAAAAAAATTATGAAAAAGAACCCTCCTAGTTGCATTAGTTTATACTTTATAGATATTAATTTGATATTGTCGTGCGAGTATACTATTATAAAAAAAACAGATTAGAAAAAAACCGATTATAGCGGCTATACAGAAAATATGTACTCTCCATATAGCGGATATACTCTAAAAGAAATGGAAGAAAAATTGAACCAAAAAAAAAAAGAAAAAAAAAAGAAAAAAAAAACTGAGTATAGCCGTCCGGCTATACTATTTCTTTTTAAAAACAATTCGAAAAGGCGTGAAGGCCAAACCCAAGAGCGAGACGATGCTTGCAATGAATGGTGCCTTTGGGAAGTCTCTTGAACATCCTGATTGATGGATTCTGTACTCTCCATATTATAATCAGATAGACAAAACAATCTGTTGTAGGAACCATAAAAGTAGAAAGGAGAACCACGCTCATGCGACGGTAGGAGGAAGATCTAACTCCAAACTCTTAGCATATGTTTCAGGACAAACTACTGACAAGCAAGCAAGCTGCTGGTGTACATAAGAAAATAATCATAGCCATTTTTCATGTCATTCGCTTATGAAACTCGGGCTGCTAATTAAAGCATGCCAAGACTTGCAAACACATCTTAACTTCAAAAGAGATTTCACAAGCAATGTTGAAAGAATGTCGAACAAGATTTCTTGGGTATGTCTTTGCGGCTAAACATGTTAGAGCATCCGCAATGATGCTCTCTATTTCTTAGCTAAAATTTAGCTAAAAATATAAGAAAGCTATTTAGGAGCTCTCTAAAAAATTTCAACTCCAACCATACTCCCTAATTTGGAGAGTCATAAATGCTATAACTCTTTTTTGATTGGTCCATCTCTATTAAAAAATAAAATAAAAAATAGTTAGAATTAAATAAAGGTTTGAAATACTTATTAAATAAGGCAGCATTAAATTATAGGGAGCCACTAGGAGTACTTTCTCTCTCCTCAGATTTAGGAGCTCCTAGAGGACTCCCTATTTTAGAAGGTGAATATGGAGCATGATTGGAGTTGCATTTTTACAATTCCTTCCTAAAATTTGTCTAAGGATGTGATTTAGGGAGCCCATTGCGGATGCTCTTAAAAACTAAATTGCATACAAAATTCAACTGACAACACGGGGAAAAAGCTATTGAATCAGACCCTAAGAAACATACGTACTCAGATGTCCAACAAGTAAAGCATTCCTCAGTCGGTCAATTATGCCAATAATAAGTGAACCCCAGATTCAAAGCTCATGTTCCTCGACCAAACCAATGAAAGAATCCAAAAAGCCCAGGCCATGCTTGGCCCAATTTGTCTATTTATCAAGATGGATAAAAACCAGGCCCAAATATATGCAAAAAGTGTG